AAACTTGCGTATCTTCCTAGGCAGACCTTTGTTAAAATCCTACTCTTTAGAGGTCTACACTAAAGTCCCTCTAAGTTTATCAATAAACCCTAAACCCTAAACCCTAAGCTATTATCTTACCAGGCCAGAGATCGGGCACGACTTGAGTCAGCGAAAGCCGGAGGCTCGTGCAGTGGCAGCAGATCATGCAGGACGTCACCAGACACTTGGCAAACGTGGGGTTTCACCAGACACCTGATTAAGATCGGGGGGGGTCTTCTTCATTGGAAGCGGTTTTGGGAGTATGTTGTTCTATAACTTCTTGAGGGACTATTGGTAGTTGTTCAAGCTGGCCCTCAGGTTCCGAGGAAAGGAGTCAAGCGCTGCCTGGCAATGACAGTGCCTCTGCACAGGAGCATGCGCATAGAGGAGAAAAGCAGCAAAAGTCGGCGGCGAGCTTCTGGGCCCCAACAACCCCCAACTCCCAAACCTTAAACGTTCCTGTTTGTGTGGGGGCAGAGGCGCGAGCCCTGTGTCGCAGAACTGATTCGTGGCCTGCCTGGCGTTTAGGGTGTTGTGTTTGCAGCTGCAAGGAGAACCAAGCAGCTCTTTCAGGAGCAGACATTGAAGTCTCGAGGCATGCGTACGTTCTGGGCTCAGGCAAGCCCAAGGCTTTCAACACGCATGAAAGCCAGGTAAAAGCCTAAAGAAACTTATGCACATCTTTTAGAATCCTACAAAGACCTGATTCGAATCAATAACTAAAGCACCAAACATGAAATCCTAAAATCATGACACACCTGAAGCTAAAACCTCCATCATCACGAAGTTCCAAACATTTAGGGTTTAGGGTTTAGGGTGAACGCCGCCAAACACGAAAGGATCAAATGTCCTCCAGAGCCTGTATTTACAGAAAAACCCAAACCCTCAAAACTTTGAGGAATGCTCCACCTAACCCCTGAACCCCAAACTCTAAACCCTAACCCATAAATCCTAACCCCTAAATCCCTAAACCCTAACCCCCAAAACCCTAAACCCTAAACCCAAACCCCTAAACCCTAAACCCTAAACCCTATACCCCTACACCCTAAGCCCATAATACCCCTTAACCCCGACCCTAAACCCTAACCCCCAAAACCCTAAACCCTCTCGGGAGAAGATCCGGGCCTCGGAACACTGCGCCGCGCGGCTGCTCAGCAACGCGGGGCTGGCCTTGGAGCTCCAACGGCTTTGGGTGCAGGGTTTAGGGTTGAGGGTTGAGGGTTTAGGGTTGAGGGTTGAGGGTTTAGGGTTTAGGGTTGAGGGTTTAGGGTTTAGGGCCTGTTACGGGCTCCTGTCAGCTTGTAGAGTTTATTTAGAGTGTTTAACCTTATGGGTGCAAAGGCTTTGTTCGGAGTCAGGGTATGTTTTCTGCTTTCGGGTTGGAAAGGTGTCTACGCCGCAAGCAGATCACATGTGCACAGACAGACAACGGCAACTCTCAACAAATTTCTGTGGTCGTTTCAGGACCAGTAGTGGTGGTGGTGGTGGAGGGTAGCGGCAGCGGTAGGAGTAATAGCCGCGCTTGTGCTGGTGCTAGTGCTGGTTCAGGCGCTGGTGCCAGTGCTCGTGTGTTGGTACCAGTGCAGGGGGTGGCGGTAGAAGTAGCCATAGGGGTAGCAGTAGGCCAGTAATACCATGATTATTGTGTTATATCAATATTTGCATGGTTTTACCACTACCTATATCATCCTTCTTGTTCAATCTACCTGTTGGTATTAGGAGCAGTATGTTGATTAGCACTTGTATCCATCATCGTGCACGTACCAGTCCCGGCACCAGGCGCAGCGCGTCTTCTGAGCATGTGTACCAGTAGCAGCATCTGTTAGCCATAGGTTCAGCAAGAGTAACAATGCCGGTGCCAGTATGAATATGGGTACTAGTGTCCCTAGTTGCATTAGTGCTAATGCTAGCTTTACAATCTTGCAAACATTTTCCTAATATTTACCTATTCACAGCTAGTATGCAGCACGCAGACGCAGTATCCTATGTTCTGAAAAACTGTTGTCAGTATCTGCATTCGTGTTTGCACTCAACACCATAAAAGCAGTAGCCACAGCAGCAGCAACAGCAGCAGCGGCAATAATATTCTCAAAACCATTACTCAAGTAGTTGTGGAATTGCCGCTGCCATTCGTTCTCACTTTCTCCTTACCAGTATTGCAAGTGCTTTAGAAGCAGCAGCAAAGACAACTTCCCAACCAACCAGACGGCGTGCAGTGCTGCCAGGCTTCATACAGCGCGGCGCCACCAAAATTGCAATCTTGCAGTGGGTCTTCCCCCACCTACAGCTAAGGCTCTCGTTTGGAGTTTAAGGCGGATCCGGTGCTTGGGGGAGGGTTTAGGGTTTGGGGCTGAAGGTTTAATTAGGGTTGAGGGTTTGGGGTTTCCGGGCTTATTGGTCGGGGGTTCAGGATATTTAGGGTCCAAAACCGTGAACTCCAAACCCAGTAGCCACGTAAGCGTCTCGGTTGCAAGCTTTCGAATACAGGTTTACTTGTGTCGAGCTCCTGGTTTTCATGCTATCTAGGTTCCTCCCATGACCCTCAATAACAAGAGTACCCTTTTTCCTTCAGCTGTAACAACTACTGTTCCCTACGGAGATCCAAAAATGGAAAGAGCATAGCGGCGCAACGGTGTATAGTATGCTATAAACGCTTAGGATAAGTCTTGCCCTAAACCCTAAACCCCATAAACCCCTTTATGACCCCTCTGAGTCAAGAAGCGAGGTTGTACCATCGGCTGAACAGCCAGTCACCCGTGCTAAAAGCATCTTCCGCGCAGGAGGCCGGCACATCCTCGTGGCAAGATTGCATTTTGGTGCAAGGTCGGGGGTAAACTAGCAGTTGTGGTATGGTAGTTGTCGTAGTAGTAGTAGTAGTAGTAGTAGTAGTAGTAGTAGTAATAGTAGTAATAATAATAATAGTTGTCGTGGTAGTAGTACGAGAAGGAGGAGCAATGGTGCCCCAAGTCTGTCCAACATCTGAGATTAGGGTCTCTTTACGGCTTGGGGTTTAGGAACTTGTTTCTATTGATGGGGCCGTGACTCCTTTTTCCTGTCGCAGCTTCCAGGCTAGGACAATGTACTTAAAGTCGGGGCCTGAAACCGCGGTATGGTCCTTAGCTTCAACCCATATATCCGGATAGTGACGCTTGGTTGTGGACTTTAGCCCGTATGGTATTTGCATGCCTCTACGCCTACCTTGAGTGTAAATGGGATCTCTATACGCAGAGCAGAACACTACGTTATTCATCGGGCTGTCCTGTGGCTGACTATGTACCTCTGTTAACATACTAAATTTGAGAGGTCTTGAGGGAGTCGGATGGTTTACGAGGGTGTCCTGCCTGCGTGCAAACCTCCGCGTTAGTGATATTTGAGTGAAATATGTTGATCTTGTGCCGTCTGGGAAGACTTAAGACTGCTATTCCATACCATCCTAAGCTTTTTGAGGTTTCATCAGCAGCTCCAGCTCTATGATAAAAAGCCATGTCGAAATGCTTATCCCAAGATACCATGGACCCTAAATCTTTGACTGAATCCACCTGACGAACCTTATGTCCTGTCTTGGAATTGTAGTTGCTGTGGTTTACTGAAAGGGGGGAAAGCAACTCCGTTTTGGTGTTTTGAAGAGACATACCAAATCTAGAAGCTTCTGTTTCAAGGTGATGAAGAAACTGTTGCACCTGCGGAGTGGTCAAAGATATTAAAAGAATATCGTCAGCACATTCAATGTCGTATGTTGGCCTACCCGCGACCAGGTGTTGGTAGGCACTCCGTGTTTTAGAAGCTGGGCATCTACATCTGAAAAGATCACCGAAAGTACTACGGTGAACAGATAGGGGCTGAGTGGGCATCCATGTATCAAGGCTGTATCATACCCGCACTTACTTTACCTTCTGCCAAGCGATCCTGAAAGCCCTTTACAGTGAAACCTGGGCAGTCACACAGAGTGGTGATTATCTTGAGCAGATTGCTGGGAATTCCGAAGCGCCGAGGCGCTGTAATTCGTGCGGAGTGGTCGATGAAGTCGAAAGTTTGTTTCCAATCCAGAAAAAAATTGTGTGTTCTGAGCGTCGAAGTATAAATAGTGGGTGCTTGGTACCCCTGTTGGCTCTAAAGCCGCATTGTGTCGGGCGGGATCATCCCTCGCAGAGCGAGGCTAATCTTTTCTGCACCATGGCAGCGAACACTTTGTATATGGGGGTTTCAGAAAATAGGGGCCCTAATATAGTACCCTAAATAGTAGGATCCTTCTTATAAGGACACCAAAATAGGGTACCCTAGTTTTCGGAAACACCCATATTGTGTTGAGAAACGAAATTGGGCGATATGAGGCCGGGTCCGAACCCAACCCCTTACCCTTGTAAATAGTGACTACCACTGCTTCCTTCCACTCTGGCGGGACGGTCTCTGATACCAAAACCTTGTTGTACTAGTCCAATAATAGTTGTTCGTTGGTTGCGTCGAATAGAGTTAACATTTCTGCGTGGATCCCATCTAATCTAGTCGAAGCGCGTCCTGCATTTCTTCCAGAGTATAAGGCGGCTCGTCTTCGCGGGTGGGGTGAAGTGGGGGGTAGAGATTCTAGGAGTGGTCTGGGCGTGGTCTTTGCGCCCATTCAACGTCCTGAAGATGGTTGCGAAAAGCCTCGCGAGTTTACAAACAGTTTGGGACCAGGGGACCGGTTTGATATTGCACTTAGCAAAAAAGATGTAAAAAGCCACTTCATGTCAGATGAAGGCACTCACACGGGCAGGTCAACTGGTCTTTTAGAACTTAGCAATTGGGAGCATCGTATCCTGAGCTTGGGAAAATGCGATGTAAAGTTTACGCCTTACTTACGGGGTTGGGGAGTTTCTGGATTACTGTTGTTGCAACGTGCTTCGCAACTCCCAGGTGCAGCTGCGATGGTCTCCAGCAAAATAAGAAAATATTGTTATCCAGAATAATTAGAGTAGGGTTGGGGGGTGCATCCACGAGGCCTCGCAAGAGAAGTTGGCAGGCGCATGGCCGCAAAGCCAAGAGATAGCCTTTTCGCCACTTCGGGTGTTTCTCTACGGGTACCCCTCCTCCTAAGCCCCGATCAAGCACATGGAATCCCTCTAGAAGCTTGCTGACCGATTTAACCCTAAACCCTAAACCCTAAACCCGACCTAATTATTAAGAAACCCTCAACCCACCAAAGCTCTAAGCCATAGTGATCCATATTGTGTCGTGGTTGGTGGCAGGGGACGTTTGTCTCTGCTTTTTGGTTCAGTGTACTTCGAACCAAATGGTAAGTGCACGTAACCCATGATGCTTTGTTGGGTTTCGCGAGGGCTGTATGAGTTTTTGGGCTCTACTATAGTTAGGAGACTTTTTTTGCTGGGTTGTCAGCACAGTTACGATTGGGACGTATGTCACCTGAATCTCCAAGTAAGATACAGCATGTACTTCGTGCTGCACCAGAGCAAGTGATCACCCACATTCATCACAGGTTCCGCCTTATGCTGAGCAACTGAGCGCAAACTTAGGGATAATGTCAACTAGTGACTTCTTCTTGTTGCTTCGTTTTCTCGGTTCTTTCAGTGACCGCGGGGAGTTGGCCCCTGTCCCTGTGGTATAGCCTTCGCCCTAAACCCTAAACCCTAAACCCTTTTACCCACGCAATCATTGCCGTTGCATGGACACAGGTCGCCTCCCTCCCTGGCTGTGGTTTGGGTGTTTGGTTCTGTTCCAGTGCGAGCCGCATCCGCAACCTGCCCTCACAAAAACACGAGCAATCATGCAGATCACGACTAATATAGGGGCCTTAATAATCAGAATAGGGTTTTGGGGCCCATTATAGCATAACTATAATTTGGAACCCCCAAAATTTCATAGGTAATTATTTAGGCCCCTACATTCCCGGTGCTAACTTCGAGGTTGCCCGGCATGTGGAGAACTCCGAGAGTCACGAGCGGCAACAGGTGCAATCCCAGCGACCACTGGCATCTTTAACGTAGCGGTGACGATCCAATCCTACGAAAACCAGGATTGTTAAGAGGTTTGCGCTCCTAGTGTTGTCGCAGACAAGATCGTGGGGGGGGGGGGGGGGGGA